CTTGGTAGTTTCCACCGCCTGTCCCCGGGTGAGCCCTGGATATGGACAGTTCCAATAAGATTTCATTCTTGAACAAAAATCCATTTTTTGATTTATTTCATCTATTCCATGACCGAAACAGGGGGGATCCACTAGATCTGTTCCCGGAAGTACCCTAAAAAAAAGGAACCTTTCCTCTCCCCAGCCGTTTCCGGTATTCCGACTTCCACAGAGCCTCCAGTAGCACAGCTAAGACAACGATGGGTTTTCTGCCCCTGCGGGGGTGGAGCGACTGTTGGGTCAGAATCACTTTTTGACTCTGCGCCAGTGATTCCACTATTATTTATTAGTGAACAATAATTGAATAATTCCTTCATAGAGATAGAGGACATAATTCACATGGATATAGTAAATCTCGCTTGGGCTGCTTAAGACCCTTATGTCCACGACCCAATCGCCCCCCTGGGGGAATATGTGCTTCTAAAAGATTTTTGATACTGTGCCCAATCAAGAAATTAGTTCTATACATATGACCAGCAATCAGAAAAATAAACGCAATAGCTAAATGATGATGAGCAATATCAGTCAGCGATAAACTTTGCGTTTGTGGATGAAATCCCCCCAGAAGGGTTAGAATGGCAGTTCCTGCTCCTTGGGAGGTACCAAATAAATGACTACTTGAATCGGGGTTTTGAGCATAAAGATTCCACTGACCTGTAAAAAGTGGACCTAATCCTTGGGGATGTGGCAATACATCTAAGAAATTATTCCATCGAACGTTTTCTCCCCTGGATCCGGGAGTTCACCTAGTACCATAGTTACTGAATTTCTATGCGAATCAAGATCGAGAAAAGGAAGTTTTCCAATCATTGACTCAAACCCATTGTTTTATTGTTCGACAAAAGGTTCATTTATATACAATAATCGGATTGTAGCGGGGTATAGTTTAGTGGTGAAAGTGTGATTCGTTCTATAATCCGTTTAAGCAGTAGAGCCGTTCGGCTATACTACTTTTTAAATATTCGAATATTAGCCGCTCTCTCTCTCTCTCTCTCTCTCTCTCTCCAAAAGGGTGTTGATTAGTTTCATCAAATTTAGGCTTGCAACAGTTCCTATAGATTCTCTTCCAATGACAATCTAGTTTATAGCTAAATCTTTCTCTACTTATGTCATATTATCTCATGTGGTGTACAGGCCTTCATGTTAAAGAGTGCTGCTGAAGAGCCACTTGGTCATGCAGCTGCCATTATCACTGATGTTCTTGAGAATGCCGAAACCAATCATGTAATAAGTGATGTGCAGAAGCGAGCTCTTCTTCAAGAAATGGCTCTGAGGCTGACTTTGAAGTTTCCTCTAGCTGCTTAGATTAGTAATCAAAGTTTTGATTGCATCTTCCTTTTCTTTCTTTCAGAAATATTGACATGTTGCAACAAAGAGATGGGATGACAATGAAATATATAAGCGATTCACAAATGTTTTCTGCGTATATCCCCCTAAAGGTAAATGTTGTAGTTCCTCCTGTACATAATTTATGATTAGGGAATTGTTGCTTTGGTGCTCATGATCTTTCATTCATGTTTTTTTTTTTTTTTTTTCCACATCTTTCATGCATTAATTTTTGCTTTATCTCAACATTTGTGATACTTAAGATGGGCTCAAAGTGATTGGATTGCCTCCTGTATTTCTAGATGGATATATATGTACTCTGGTGTAATATGAATATTCTAGTTTCTCTTGACAAGTGTTAAACTTGATGGGTCATTAGTTGGAGCTTTTTGTGATAGCTGAAATTAAATTTTGTATAGGTACATAATAGAAATAAAAATGCGAGTACTTATTTCTTTTCCACACATCTTCTCTTCCCTTCCTCTTTCCTTTTCTTCTTTTGCAGGAGGAAGAGAGGAACTTCAAACATTCAATAAACAGGTTGAAGAAGATGGGAGAATTGTTATATCGAGGAGCAATTCGTATGAATTACATGAGGTATTTTTTAGTTCTGCTTAAATTTTTATGTATTTGAATACAATATACTTTTGAAATATATTTGTCTAAAATATATTAGAATATTTAAACAGTATAGCCGCGCGGCTAGACGCGTTTAAACAGTACAGTGCGCACAAGGATTGCAAGTGTGTATCCAGGATGGGGTATGAGGATGTGATACACCAATGGGCTGTTCGTTGGAATGAGGTAACAGATCAACCTGATGAAACTTCTTTCTGCAGCTACTGTGAAGAGCCATGTAGTGGGTCTTTTCTTGGTGGATCCCCAATATGGTGCTGCTTGTGGTGTCAAAGACTGGTACATGTGGATTGCCACAGTAGCATGTCCAATGAAACAGGTGATATTTGTGATTTAGGTCCATTCAGAAGGTTGATTATATTCTATCCCCTCTTCATGTAAAGGAATTGAGCCAGACTTCCGCTGGTGGATTTTTGAGCTCCATTACTCAGGGGGCCAATGAGATATCTTCAGTACGTGCAACTATTAGGAGTCAGAGCAACAAGTCCAATCATGGAAATGAAACCTCTGTTGACACGGGAAATAGTGGTAGTATTGGGGATATGTCCGCAGAAAGCACAGCTGATACTCATCACGCTGTTAATGGTTTGGTACTGTAAATGTGGATTCGCAGCACCAAGATGGTGATGTAGATAGGAAACTGGACCACAAGTTTAGATTTGGGGTCTTTTTGACTTGAACATGCCTAGTATAGAAGAACCTCATCCGGGGCTGACTGTGTTGAGTGGCTTCTCCGACAATTTGAGCAAGTTATTCTTGGACAATGGTGGAGAAATTGGCCCGCACCAACTCATGGAAGCAGCCATTGCTGACAAAGAGATCAAGGTCTCCGTGTGGTGGACTGAAACTTCATACTTTGAGGTATTGATGATCTAATCTGATGATATGATTTCATCAATTAGGAAGAATATTAATTAATTAGTTTACTAACTTTTATGTAGCACTGATATATAGGCTACCCTGTGCTTAGAGATTCTTGAGCAACATTTCAAATCATCATCCTGCATGCATCATCCGTTTTAGTTTAATTGAATTGAATGTTAGAGTTGAGTTATTTTCTAGGTAGCAATGTTTTCTGTTCTGAAGGTGAAAACTACTGGTATATGTAATGATTGGGGATGGATTAGATTTTGTATTAGATTATATTAGATTCGAAACTTAAAGATTCATATGGTTTTTGGGCACTGGAAGGAAGATTAGAAACAATTAGAAAAAAAAAAACCGTCGGCTATACGATTTGTTTTTATAAAAAAAAAAAGGAAAAAAACCAAGTATCGCCGAGCGGCTATACTATTTATTTAAACAAAAAAAGGGACCCGCCTAAAGCAAATGGCCCACGTGTATGTGTATTCAATAATATGTGAGAACTATGCGTATAATACGTGAATTTTTTTGTATATTATTAAAAAAAAATGTGTATTAGACATGAAAAATATGTACGTACTTGTTCAATAAGAGTATTGTATGTTTGCTCTTGAAAAAAACATGAATTTTGCCGAGTAACGCCGACCGGCTATACTATTTCTTTAAAAAATTAGTAAAAAAAGAGTATAGCCGCGCTTAAACATAACCGAGTAAAGCCAGACCGCTATACCATGGTAAAAAAAACTTAGAGGAAACCCAGTATAGCCGCCCGGCTATAAATAAAAAGGGGACCCGCCTAACTCGTAGGCGCCCACAGTATAGCCGCCCGGCTATACTATTTTTTAAAACAATTAAAAAACCGAGTTTAGCCGACCGGCTATACTATCTGTTTAGAAAATTTTAAAAAACCGGATATAGCCGCCCGGCTATACGCTTTCTTTTTTTTAAAAAATGGAAAATCGATTATAGCCGTGCTATTTATTTAAACAAAAAAAGGGATATGTCCGCAGAAAGCAGCACAGCTGATACTCATCAAGCTGTTGATGGTTCTCATAAAATTGATGAAAACCGTAATGGTACTGTAAATGTGGATTTGTAGTGCCAAGATGAAGATGGTGATGTAGATAGGAAATTGGATTCTGAGCCTAGTTTCAAAAGGAGCTCGTAAAGCAATAAGAAGGATGAGTGTCAGGTTTTAGGGATGAAACAAAAATACGAGTTGATTGATTTGTCACCAGATGCAAGACCCTTGTTAGTTTTTATCAACAAGAGGAGTGGGGCTCAGCCTGGGAATTCACTGAGGCAACGATTGAATATTCTTCTCAATCCTGTTCAGGTTTGATTTCTCTACCATCTTGTTTACTTGGAAAAATATATTTGCCTTCATTTGTTTAGCCAAGTGAGGTCTTTTAAGTAAGGTTTAAGGTTTAAATGTCTTTGGTGGAAAAAATATTTCCCTTCTTTTCTTTTCAAATGAGCCAAGTAAGGATATTACTGAGGCTTAAGGTTTGAAATAGATGGTGTTGAGATAGAGGTCCCTGAGGTGAGTACGTATGAAAAGATTTTAACCATAAAGACACAACACTTCAGTTGCTGATTCAGAAATCATCACCATATTGCTTGAGCTTTGGCTGTCTGGATATATCATGATTGACTAATTTTGAGATTATCAGTGCTGGACTTTTAGACACATTTTCAGGATGCCGGAGGTACACTTGTTGCGAATATTGGAAGCTACATGGGCGGTGTAGATTTGTGGCAAAATGAAGATGAAACTTATGATAATTTTGATCCACTCTATGCATGATAAATACTTGAGGTTGTGAGCATTTCTGGAATATGGCACCTTGGGAAACTTCAGGTTTTTGGGTATTTGTGGATGCTCTACCTCTTGATATGTGATACACATACTCACATATTGGAATGTTGATTTTTTTCCAGAATATTAGGATATGTAAAATGCTCATTCTAAGCTAGATTACATTTTAGCATAAATACTCGTTTGGCTGTTTTGATTATTTACTTTGGCTTGTAGTCCCTAAAGTTCGGTGTTCTCAATTTATAATGGATCACTATAATTGGTAATGCGTGCTATGTCTCTGAACTGCTAAATTGGACACGTCAGATGCGCATTATAGAAAAGTAAACTGTCATCAGCTAAAAATAAATGGGAGAGAATGGGAGCTCCCTGCACCACAGAAACCCCCTTAATACATTTCAATCTGAGGGCATTTGACAGCAGCGCCAATAAACCCTTCAGCACAAATCAGGAACAAGGGGATAGTGGATCTCCCTGGCGCAAACCCCTTGTTGGCACAATCATACCCGTAGGTTCTCCATTCACCTGAACTGAATAAGAAACTGTAGAAATACAATCCATAATCATGTTAACCCATCTGGCATTAAAACCCAATCTGCTCAACATAGCTTCTAAAAAATCTCATTCTACCCGGTCATACGCTTTTGACATATCAAGCTTGAGGATCATCTTCTTCAGCTTACTTCCACCCCGCCGTTTCATAGCATGGATACTCTCAAAAGCCGCTATAATGTTATCAGTGATAAGCCTTCCAGGAACAAAGACACTCTGATATTCGGAAATAATAAAAGGCATGATCGGCTTCAATCTGTTCACCAAAGATTCAGATATAATTTTATATAGCATTGTGCATAAACTGATTGGTTGAAACTAACCTTCGCTGGCCTGTGCACCTTCGGGATGAGAGTCAGGAGTGTGTGGTTCACTTCCTTCACACTGGCTCCCCCATTTAGAATAGTTAGATAGAAAGCCACTACATCATCACCCACTATATCCCAGTAATTCTGATAAAACAAAGCACGCATTCCATCTACTCCCGGCGAATTGGTAAGGAACATTTGATTCAAGGCACCTTCAACCTCATCCCTCCCTAGAAAAGGGGCTGTTTAGACTCTTATTATGCTCCAACGTTACAGCTGGCTGTACCACCTCAATGATGTGAGAGTTGTCAGTCGTGCCATTTGTCTGAAATACTGGTACAATCAATATAGATTTGTGTTTCCTCATGATCAGTTCTCCTGTGTACTTTCTTAGGCCATGTAAATCAAGTCTGCATCATCTTCTATACATTGGAATCACATGTGGTAATTATTCATTGGTGATGCTTATTTTTCCAAAGTGTTCTTCGGTAGCAGTTCCCCTCACAAAAGCTAATATTATACCGGCTTCTTCCATTATTTCACCAAATCCAATCAAACGTGTTTAACGCTTGTCAAACACCATCCCACATAATATTTTAGGGGATTCCAATCAAATTTCTTGCCCTTTCGAACATCTTCCATATCTACCAATTCGAGATCCAATCTCTATAAATTAGGAAGGTGTGCGAGCAAGTATGGCATGAACAACCAACCAGAAGAATATGCTAAAAGCTGCTAAAAAAAGTGACTAAAAATTCAACTGCATCTTCATAAGCTACAGCTTGATAGAGGACAAGAAGTGTTACCTTACTGCTGGAAACTTCTATGAAGTTGAAATCGATGCCCCACAACTAGATGTTCTTGATATAAAAGAATCGGTTTTTGCGAAGTTTAAGATTGGAAACTTCAAGCATCTCCGAGAAGTAAGGCTTCAAAGTGGCTTCTACGAAGCGAAGAGGCAACTAGGCGAAGTGGGAGAACCTCTAGTTCTTTTGCGAGAAGTATTTTCTACGATTAACAAGGAGTCAATATCTACTAGCTGCTTGGTTGTCGGAGATGGTGCTTTCGGGGTATGATTTGGTTTTTATTTTGTATTTTCTGTTTTGAATGAAATGTATGCGTTGTTATTAATTAGTGTTCTGAATGGTAACAACACATTCTTAAACTTCTCGGAAATGCTTGAAGTGTCATTTACCATTCAGTACACTAATTAATAACAACGCATACATTTCATTCAAAATAGAAAATACAAAATAGAAATGAAATCATACCCCGAAAGCACCATCTCCAACAACCAAGCAGCTAGTAGATATTGACGCTTTGTTAATCGTAGAAAATACTTCTCGCAAAAGAACAAGAGGTTCTCCCACTTCTCCTAGTTGCCTCTTCGCTTCGTAGAAGCCACTTTGAAGCCTTACTTCTCGGAGATGCTTGAAGTTTCCAATCTTAAACTTCGCAAAAACCGATTCTTTTATATCAAGAACATCTAGTTGTGGGGCATCGATTTCAACTTCATAGAAGTTTCCAGCAGTAAGGTAACACTTCTTGTCCTCTATCAAGCTGTAGCTTATGAAGATGCAGTTGAATTTTTAGTCACTTTTTTTAGCAGCTTTTAGCATATTCTTCTGGTTGGTTGTTCATGCCATACTTGCTCGCACACCTTCCTAATTTATAGAGATTGCATCTCGAATTGGTAGATAGGGAAGATGTTCGAAAGGGCAAGAAATTTGATTGGAATCCCCTAAAATATTATGTGGGATGATGTTTAACAAGCGTTAAACACGTTTGATTGGATTTGGTGAAATGATGGAAGAAGCCGGTATAATATTAGCTTTTGTGAGGGGGACTGCTACCGAAGAACACTTTGGAAAAATAAGCATCACCAATGAATAATTACCACATGCGATTCCAATGTATAGAAGATGATGCAGACTTAATTTTCACAGCCTAAGAAAATACACAGGAGAACTGATCATGAGCCTTAGCTGCCTCTTCGCTTCGTAGAAAACGGTGTTAGCCCTAGATTTGGAGGACACCAGACACTTGAGGAAAGAGAGCAATCCTTCTGTGCTAAAAATCAAACTCTACATTGTGGATTTATCAAAGGACCCACAGGATTCTCAAGCTTGGACTGGATTTAGATGTGAAAGATAAGGCATACGTAAACGAATTGGCTTGTGGAGGATTTTTGTAATCAAGAAACAGATCAAACAGAAAGAGTGCATACAAACAGAAAGAATGCATACAGATCAAGACCAGGATTTTTGTCAGGATGTCTCATGATACACCTTACAAACAGAAAGAGTGCATACAGATCGAGAACCTATACAGATCTCAACTTACAAACAGAAATAGTGCATACAGATCAAGAACCCTATACAGATTTCAACAGAAAAGAGGGAAGCCCTAAATTCTTCAAATAAGCAAAAAAATAATCTTTTTAAAGAAAACAGAGTCTTTTTCAAGAATCAAATTATATGAAAAAGCAGTCAAATTGGTATCGAGAGATGTGGAAGAATACCTTGGAAGAGATGGCGACCTGGAGGAGATGGTCTTCAGATGATGCTATGGTTTGGGAGGCCTCATGGTGCGTTTGGGATTGTGGTGATTAAAAAATAAGCAGCGTTAAAAATAAGAAGAGCTGCAAAAAAAATTGAATTTGATCGGAAAACCCTAGATTTGGGATCTAAGAAAACTTCAATTCTTCTCTCTTCTTCTTCCTCACTCCACAAATGCATAGAAGAAAACGTGAACAAGGGTGGTGGTTGGGTTGGGTGGGGTTCGTCGTGTGGGGCTGGCGTGGAGGAAGGGGTTGGGTGTGGTGATATGGGGTAGGGTGGGGTTCTTCTTCCTTTCTCTCTCTGCATATCAATTCTTCTTCTTCCTCACTCCAACCACAAAAAATTCAATCCCCAGCTTCCCCACCTCGTCATCTCCAGCCAATGAAAATCCAACCCCCATCTTCCTCAGCAAAACAAAATCCAATCTTCACATTATTCACATACACAGGGCAAAGAGAGAGTTGATTCATAAACTTCATTAAATTGAATTAAAATAGAAGAAAAACCCCCCAAGATTCGTATTTGTAGTGGGCATGGCTTGGTGGATCTGGGCAGTGCGTATGTCGGATTTGGGCGGCGTGGGGATCAAATAGAAAGACGGCGGCGGCATGGGAGAATGGGAGAGAGGGGCTTGGCCTGGGAGCGGTGCGGAGTGTGTGTCGGATATGGGCGGGGTGGGGATCAAAAAGAGAGACAGCGGCGGGATGGGAGAGTGAGAGAGAGAGAGAGAGAGAGAGAGAGAGAGAGAGGAAAGCTACAAAATGAAACCTATATGCTGCCACCAGCAAGCAGACTCCAGAAAAACAAAGGTAAAAACAAAAACAAAGAGTGAAAAAGCAACAAAGACGTATGAATGAGGTCTGAAAAAGGTTAAATTAATTTGAACCCATTTGATGGATACACACCTCAACTTTCTCTCTCTCTAACTTAGATAAGGAGAAATTTTTAATTGAAAACTCCAACTTAGAAAATGAATAAATGAAAATTGGACACTGTCAAAACTGTCAAATGGGTGTTTAATGAAGTGTTAAATGATATTGGTGTTTGGTGATTGGCATCATCCATCCACGTACATACATGTAACTAAAAATAGGATGTGAGATGACGTGCTACAATAGTAATTTATAATTTATGGTAAAATATGTTTGCTAATTGTATATTACAATTTTTTATTTTAAAAAAAAGGTGTAAATTAAAAAAAGAAAAAAATTTATGCAGTGAAGTTTGTTTGTTTGTTTTTTTAAAGTAGAAAAAAGAAAAAAAGAAAAAACAAACAGTTTCATCATCATGCCCTTTTTGGTTATTATATATGCTAAAAGCACTTCTGATAAAAATTTACTAAAATACTTTGACTACTCACAGTAGTTTTTCAAATACAATTTACCAAACACCTAGTTGCTTTTTTTTACAGCTGATTATTTTCGCAGCACAGTAGAAGCAGTTTTTTTCAAAAGCACAGCGACGCCAAACTAGCCCTCATTAAACTGGACTATGTTTTTTTTTTGTTTTTTTATAAGGATTAAACTGGACTATGATGTTAAATAACACTTGAAACCTATATTTGGTAAGGGGGGTCTAACTTAAATAAGATTACGTAGTCCAACAGCAAAAAAAATTGCCTCACTCGCTCTTCCAATTTAGCGAGCTTGAAACAGGGCTCGCAAAATAGTGAGCTCGCTAAACAGAACACTCGAGTCCAACGCGATACCAGTTTCTTCTTCTTCACCTAGACATGAGTCTAGGCAATGGACGTCGAGTCCTTCACTTCAGAGCTCAAGTTCATCGAAAAGGCTTGAAACCCAGTAATCGCCTTGAGATCTTGATGCTGCTGATGGTCGCTGAAATAGTCCGAGGTCTGGTCTTACAAGTGCGTTAGGGATGATGAGTCTTGGGGTCTCTGTTTGGCTATCAAAATAGTGCACGGTGTCGGCCCTGAGCTCAAAAGGCGACGACCATGGGCCTCAACTTTGGGGGCCCTCAAATAGAAGCCATGATTTATTGAATTGGTGCAAGGGTCGAAGCAGCCATGGCAGACGCAGAGAGTGGAGAAGATGATGGTGAGGCGTGAGATTGGATTGAATCGTTCATCGTATGAACAAATTGAGTAAATGAAAAGTGATTAGGAAGAAAATTAGAGAAAGAATTGATGAAATTTGTGAGAGAATCACAACTGAAGAGTGTTTGGCAGGGAAGAAAATTTGAGAAAAAGCTAAAAAGAGGAAGGATCAAAAGTCGTGAGGTGTTCAATGAGAAGTTTGATCGAAAAGTTTGCATGTTTTTTTTTTTTTTTTTGGAGACTTTGGAAAAACCCAAAGAAGAGAGAAATTTTTTAAAAGAAGTTAAAATGAACAAAATTGCTCTTATTTATTTTGTGGATTTCCTAAGGAATCCTTTACATTTGCATGTCTTTGATTTGAAAGTTAAGAGGTTTTTCTGTCTTTTTTGAAAAAACTTTGGCTTTTTCTAAAAGTGAAAGTTTTTTTATGGCTAAAACCTAAATTTTCTTCTTTTTTTTTAAAGTACAAAAGAACATCCGAAGTTAGATCTGAGAAGTTTGCATATCTTGTGTTGGGACTTCGGGTTTGTCAGCCTTTGAGAAATAGGAGAAGAAGAAAAAAGAAAGAAATTAAAAACAAAAACTTTGATTATTCGCACATGCAGTTGAGATCAAGCAAAATACCATAATTTTTTATTTAATAAATTATATATTTTTCATTATTTATGATAATTTTAGCCTTTAAAAAATATCAAGTTTTATTTGTTTTAAATCTTTTTTTAGAACACAAATTAGCAAAAATACACTTGAAAAATATGTAAATAATTATTTTTTAGTCTGACATAGCACCAAACATAGGTCTTCACTATTTTTACAATCCAACTTCGTAGTCCGACGTAGCACCAAACGTAGGTCAGTACTTAATCAAGTATAGGTCAATCCGAGCTAATTCGAGACAGTCCTAGGATTTAGTCTAGTCCATAACAGTCCGCCGTACCAAACGACCCCTTAGTGTCCTTAAACTCGAAGCTGCTAAATCCTAAATCCTAGTTGTAACTTTATTTGAGGCTCTTTTGCTTTTATGAACATATTTTTAGTTATTCACTACATTTTTAGTATTCAAACAAACATTGTAAACTGTGTATCCTTCTCTTATAGTGTACAGCCTGAATCTGGATCAAGGTCAGGGCCTATACCTGGTCTCCAGGTCGTAATGCTTTCTGGAGGAGACCTGCACACTTCGAACAATTATCAGAATAGGAACGAACTGGAGTTTTTACCAGTTGAACTCCCTCCGATGTAGTTTTGAGATGGAGAAAATGTATGTAGCGTTTGCAAAGTGGAATATTTATTACCTTCGTCCTGATGTAGGTGAAGGGTATTTATAGAGGGAAGATGAGAGACAGATATCTAAAGGGGAAGATATTTATCTTCCTTCCCCCTAGTGGGACTGGGTTACATTAAATGACCTGTTTGATCACCATACTTTCTGACAAGGATTGTGTGATAAAGCGACATGTGGCTTTGGATGGGAGGCATATTAAATGATTCACTCAGAAATCAAAGGGTAAGACGACACCTGATTTTGGATGGGAAGTACATTAACTGATTTATCTCAATTGCCATGTTGTTTATCAAACGAGTGGAGTGATTGACTTG